CTACAGGCAGGACATTGCCTTCTGTGCAAAATGCACTGTAAGAGCCATCTGCTTTCCACTCTGTGAGTCTCCTGGCGGAGAGTTAGCATTGATTGGGGCTCAGTCCAGGCTCCCACTGACAGCAGTGCAACTCACACAGCCAGCAAATCTGCAGTGACTCTATGCCTTGGTTTAGCAATTGTACAGCAGGGTTATTGCAGAAATGGAAGAAGGTCGCATTAGTTTTTTTCTTTATTTATTTTTTCTTTTCTTAAGCTGTGTGATAGTGGCCTTCTTGTTTCTCGAAGCTCCGTCTCACTTGTACCAAACAGTTTGTGTTTTTCATTCAGATGGGCACCTGCTGCCTGCACTGTAATTGGTCTCCAGAGAAAGAGAGCAAAAAGGAAAGAAAAGGGAAGAGAACAGAGGTGAGATTCTGGAAAACAAAGCAGGGGAGAACAGAGCCCAAAATAGGCCGTAGATGAAGCAGTGGGCTGTCTCGAGTCTCACAGAGGAATGTCCAAGGTTAGGAACTTAGGAACCAGACTGGCAGCGGTGTGTTTGTGAAAAGGGAGAGAGAGCATGTTGAAAGCTGCACAAGTCGGCTGGGAATCGCCAGAGCAGGAGACCATGTGACGTGCACAGGCGCTGTTTTGTGGCTGGCAGTGATTAAGGCCGTCAAGTTAACTGCTTGCAAATTTGGCTTCTGTAGCCAAAGGGGGTGTTGATGGGGCAGGCAGCCTGGCTGCGATTGGCTCAGAGGAAGAGCCGTGGGTCAGGGGGAGCGTCTCCCGTGGGATCCCGATTCCGGCCAAAGTTGGGAAAGAAAGCTGGAATGAGGCAGGAGGAAACACGGAGGAAACTATTTTGGCAGCTCTGAGTCCCAGGGGGCAGTGAGGCAGCTGGGCTGCTTTCCCAGCACGTTCTGGTGAGAAGCGGACAGCAGGGCCTCGGCGTTCAGGGGGAGGAGCTCTGTCAGGGAGACCCGGGGTTTATTCTCGAGGCCCCACAGGGGAGAGCTGTTTCGTCGAGTCCCAGTCAGAGCGGCAGATCGGCTCTTAGCACAGGCTTCCCCAGGATCGGTTGGCAAGAAGGAAAAGGACTCAAGTTTCACTACATTCCATTCTTAATTTTGTGCTGTTGTTGTGATTCATCATTGAAATTTGCTATTTGCTATTGTACTGCTATTGCCGGGATGGGCTCAGTTTCTCCCCGCGACCCAGAACTGGATGAAGCACTTAGAAAATGGGTGGACGTGCTATTGATAGCATCGGCATCGGCAGCTTGTGGGCTTCCCGCAGTTCCTCTGCGATTGCTGTTCCTGTTCCGGATGAGACTCTGTATTCTCCTGTATTTGTATTTGATCCTGTGTCTGCATGTTGTCCCATTACAGGAGTGCCCATCAAGGCCAAAATCCAAAGAGAAGGCTCAGAAATATGAGCATCGGAGGCAGGACTCACCCACGTTCTGAAACGGTGCAGTTCCTTCTCAAACCCCTCCTTCATATCAGACCTTCATCAATGTCCAGAGCTAAACTGGGCTTTTTCCAAGACTTGATAAAGATCAATGTGCTTTACTCTGTGGCATTTTGACGTCTTGTAAGTCATTTATTTCTAAGATGGATATTGAGTATTCCTTCCATTACTCTTAGAAATGTACCTAGAGAAGGGTAATTGGGCTGAGTTATGGATACTATTAGACCTTACTATTAGACTATTAGACCCATACTATTGGATGAGACCTTCTTAAAATGACAATCCAGTGTATTGAATGATATAGGCTTTCATTTGTCAGATCTGTGTATGTATCACATCTCTCACCTGCTGCCTGCAGTCTCTCCTACATACGGGAGCACCAGGTACTGGGTGTTTGGTACTAGTTGCTGTATTCTGAATAAACGGACATGGATTAAACTGTTGTAACTGTGTAAACACAATTGGCTCTTAACTCCTTCTCCTGAAATGAGGTAACTAAGGGTTCAGATTGAATGACTGCTGAGAATACCTGCTGCCCCTCGGTGCTGGAGTCTGGAGCAAATAACAGGGGTCCACGCTGGTGATCTGCTCTCAGAGCCCTAGAAATAAAGATCCTGTATACTGGTGGGGGGTGTTATGGGAAGGGTGAGGTGCACTCTTAGAAATACTCATCTGTCCGAGCCAGAATGATAACAACTGCCACAGGTGTGCCTTGTTAGGCACTGCAGAGTAACAGGTGCTAATGGCAGCATCTGTCACCTCCAGGAGGACAGACTTACAGTATTTGGAACCTGGGCACTGCGCTTGTGAGCTGCTGGCAATTTGTCATCTGAAAACTAATCTGCTTAGCTCTCTCCTTCCTTCCTCCCCATGCAATTGAAGTCAGTGAGCTGAAGAAAGTCAATAGGTCAGTACCAGTTTTGACATCCCTCAGCGCTAATCAGGAGATTGGAGATGAGAGAAAAACATTTTGATTACCCTGTCTGCCCTGGCTGGAGTGAGCTATTGTCCTCGTCATGATTCTTTTTGTGTAATAGAATAAAAGCTGCAGATTGAGCCCCTAAACCTTGCGATGATCAGGAGCACCCGCAACATCACTGTTTCTCTCCTGTCCGAAGGGGGAACAGACGCTGATACTTATCGTTCTGGTCCTCCAGCTCGTGCGGATGACAAACCAGTGTTTCTATGGATGCAGATTCTTTGTGCTGCCTCACGCCTGGAGAATTTGTTCCATCAAATAATGTCACAACCCAGTGCGTTCGCAGTCAGAGTTGGGAGCTGTGTGTCTCCTGCGCTGGTGGAGCTCGTCCTGGACGCTGTGTCACAGGGGCACAGCAATGAGCGACAGCATGGCATAACAGGTCTTGTGAATTGTGCATAGTAATCAAATGGAAATGAAGGTTCTTATCAAGCATTGTTAGTGACAGAGCCAGTTTATGGGGAAATATAAACCAAGATGTTCCCTGTTGTCTGTGTGCGTGCATTCTTAAAAAGGGACAACATCTCCACATCTGCCTGTGACAGCTACAGCGCTCCAGGTGTGACTGTGAATGAGGGCTCTCCACAGGGCTCTGAGCGGGACAGTCCTCTGAGGGAGACAGCTCTCCCAACAGGATAGTCCTCTGAGCAGGACAGCTCTCTGAGCGGGACAGTCCTCTGAGTGGGACAGCTCACCCAACAGGACAGTCCTCTGAGTGGGACAGTTCTCCCAACAGGAAAGTCCTCTGAGCGGAACAGTTCTCCCAACAGGACAGTCCTCTGAGGGGGACAGTCCTTTGAGCAGGACAGCTCACCCAACAGGACAGTCCTCTGAGCGGGACAGTTCTCCCAACAGGACAGTCCTCTGAGCGGGACAGCTCTCCCAACAGGACAGTCCTCTGAGTAGGATAATCCTCTGAGCAGGACAGTCCTCTGAGCAGGACAACTGTCCCAACAGGACACTACTAAACATGCTGGGGATAAGGGCATTGCACTTGGTTGGGATAAACACAAGGCTCCCATTGCAAGACAGTTTCTTCTGTTTCAGGTTTTATTATCTAGAGGCCTTTGCACAGATTGCTCTCATGACTTTTAAATTCACACATACACATATAAGGCACAGATGCAGAGGCAGAAGATGCAGCACAAGGAATTGTCATTTGAGCATGACATCTGAAATAACTCTTCACTGCTACACAAACATACGAACAGTTACAAACGAGAGAAGGTCCATCGGTCCATATGGCTTGTTGATCCCAGGAGTAGGGTCTTGGTCAGAACATGCCATCTTTTACCATTTTCCCTTATATGGACTGACACTGCCCGAGTATTGTGACTATTTTTATGTGTAAATCACCCTGAGCCAAGTTAATTTCAGCTGTGAGGCAAAGGGATGTCACTAAGTAATCAAGCAGTTCATTTTACACTGTAAGAGGAGTGAAGGGAGCTGTAGAGGGAGAAGGACTGCTGACCGGTCAGACAAGCACATCATTAAGAGTCCATTCACTGCCACTGAGCCTCTTTAAGGGCCCCTCAGTTCCACAGCTTTTTCATATAACCTGAGGCAGAGGGGCCGACACATATACAGTATGTAACAAACTGCGATGCTGTCTGAACGAAGAACCCCGTGTGGAGTTAGGGAGCCGAGTCAGGAGAGATTTCTGATGATTCCAAAACGTTAGGCAGAGACGTAGTCGAGGGTGAATTCCGGGTGCGATACCAAAGGTTATCCAAAAGGAGAAAGGCAGACAAATCCAACGCGCTAGATGAGGTCAAGGTCGAAGGTGAGTTCCGGGTTCGCATATCCAAAAGCAAGATCCAAAGGTTTATCCAAGCGAGGGAAGAGGTTCCAAAGAAGCTAACAATCCCGAGCGATGTTCAGTGAACCGGAGAAGGCTTCGGGAGGTTTGGAAGTGGAGGCTGCTCTGAATGAGGCGCTCTGAAGCTGGTGCTTGATTGGGGTGAGACTGTTTGTGCGGAGGATTCCTATTAGCAGCGGATGTGACAGTATAATGTGAGCAAAGCCTCACCTTTGTACACCTAGTTCAGAGCTCTTCAATTACAATGAATGAGTAACTGAAACAGGAACCTCAAACATTTGCTGGACATTCACAGTGCTTGACGTTACCGAAATAGGTAAACATACAGTAGGTTAGAAATGCTCATTGATCCAAGAATATTTTCCAGCCATTTGTCAGAGAATCCTGGGAAAATGTAGGGTACTGTAGCAGGTTAGCTAGTTCTACACTCACACATTCCCTTTACTTCCTGTGAAAAGAAGTATTCCCTGTTCTGAGTGCACAATCTTAATATCCACTAGGGTTTAAACCCAAGGTTTTACAAAATCTTTCAGGATTTTAAATCTTGCGTCAGTACTTGTATGGAGCCCCTTACACAGGGAATGAGGTTCACCAGTGGAGGAATGCTGACCTGAACTGCTGCTGTTGTGGTGTCCAGCCCAGTCTCTGGCACGCAGAGCAGAGCCAACAGCAGTGTGCAGGGCAGGAGTGTGTCTGTAGGTGGACACGCAGAGCTCACCAGCTTGTCTGTGCTTTTCTCTCTGTGCAGCCTGAAGGCCATACTGTCCAGCAGCCCCATCAACAACACAGTGGACCTGTCCGGCATCCCTCTGACCGTGAAGGACATGGAGCGCCTGGCATCATTCCTACAGCAGAACTCGGACCGGGTCACGAGCGTGGAGCTGTGCTTCACCGAGCTGACAGACGAGGCCTTCCTCCAGCTGCTGCCCACTCTCGGCATGCTGCCACTGCTCAACACGCTGTCCCTCAACGGCAACCGACTGACCAAGGCCGTGCTGCGCGACCTCACGGACACACTCAAAGACCCGGAGAAGTTCCCCAGCGTCACCTGGATCGACCTGGGCAACAACGTGGACATATTCTCCCTGCCCCAGCCCTTCCTCGTCAGCCTGCGCAAGCGCTGCCCCAAGCAAGGGAACCTCCCTACCATCCTGGAGTTTGGGGAGAGCCAGATGAGCGACATGGAGAGCCACGATGGCAACCTATCCGAGTGCCTGGACGACCTGGGCTCTGAGGCAGAGGATTCAAGGCAGTCGCCTTCACCCACCTCCACCCCCAGCCAATCCCAGCTCGTGTCCAAATCCGAGAAGCCAATGGGGGGCGAGACAGGGGATCAGGTGGTGACGCTCGCAGCCAATCAGACCTGAGAATGGCCGCCGCCTGCCCCCGGTTCCCATGACGTGGTGGCTGTGCCCCGCCTCTGCGAGTGGCTCCTCCCCCTTCGGTGCCATGAGGAGAGCCCCCGGAGCGAGAGTGACCTCTAGATGTCGTTGTTGTTCCTTGACTCTGTCTTGTTATGTCAGCACGCAACATGCCTGCCCCAGTGACACGAAGAGGGATGCTTCAAAGCAAAATGACAATCAGATTAAGCATTAAGATATACATTTATGATCGATATTGAATGTTTAAAACCTTATGACATTTTTCCAGAGCTGTGCTGCTCTGACAGTATTTTATCCTGCTATGACTTTTCTTCTTGCTTTGGAGCAGAGAAGCTCTGGTCCCCAGTGCCCTGTGAAGGGATGGACTGTAACATCTCTGAGGTCGTGAAGAGCTGTGTTACTGTGTGGCCAGTCCAAGACAGCCGCTACAGTAGCAGGGGTCCTTCCACCTCGGTGAGCCATGTGGGCTTCTTCGCATGGCTCCGTGGGCGGAATCTGACGGGAGTCTGGGCCTGCCTCTCCCTGGGGTGAAGGGGCAGGATGCCTGTCTCTGTGGGGGGCGGGGAGCGGACAAGTGAGTGGTACTGGGAGAGCAGTGCAGCGGCTGACCTCGGACCACGCGCCTGTCCTGGTCAGGAGGCGGGACGGTCCAGTCTTTCTGGGCTTCTGACTCCCACAAACCGGCCAGGTCAGGTCAGCCCCACGGCAACAATAACACTGCAGGGTCACAGTAAGGGCGCTCCAGGTCTGAAAAGGCCTCACATCGCCAGGGTGTGGATTTCGGCTCTACCCTGGGCAGTAGCTCAGCGAACACCAGGCCTGTGAGGGAGGGCGAGTGAGTCCACTGGGGATATTTCACCCACCTGAGGGAGACTGTTACAGTCTGGTGACTCTGGAATAAAAAGGCACAATTACAATATTTTACGTAAAATACCCTAAATAATGTGCAAATTATCCTTAAACATTTTGAAATCCATACCCTATGTGTCCTATTTTGTCCTGCACTGCCAGTTTAATGAACTTTTTTTGTTTTTTAGTTTTAAACAGAGAACATTGCTAAGGTGTATGGACAATGCAGAGCATGTCCAGTCTTCCTGCAATCCCGTGAATTTGTGGGTCAGTACCTTCAGGAGAGCAGGAGGCCCAGTGAAAAATGCCAGGCAGTTTAGTGCAAAACGGCTGCAGCTTGAAATGAGATGCGTTGGAGCGGTGTTGTTTCAGAGGCATATAAACCGATTCACTGATTATCAAGCTACAGAGAGGAGCAGTCCTAACCATTCCAGTTGTGGCTCATGGAGAACAGCATCATCTGCCTATTTGACTTTTTTCCTCCAGTGACAAAGCACAGTCTCCTGAGTTTCTTCTCAGTAACCAGGGCAAAGTTCAGTTTTTATTCTCCTTCAAGGTTCCCACTGGGAGCAGCTGTCACATGGCTTGCACTGCCACCTCTGACCTCTGTCCCAATATTACACCAAGCTGAGTTAATGAGCTCAAGACCTGCAAACAAAGGGCTCTGATGATGCCCCACAGCTTAATTCTCATCAACATGTTCTGGCAACCTGATGGTGCATCTCCCCTGACCTTGTTCCTAAGTCCAGAACAGTAATTTCCAGGAAGAAAATGAGAAAGTGTGAGCGTCACAGTTCCGTGCGGGCTCATGCTCTTCGCCGCTCCACCCCGCCGGTTCTTACTGCGACACCTGGGGCGCGAACTCGTGTCTCCGGCGCAACGCAACAGGGAACCAGCCGAGTGGGCTAAAGGAGACCTCCCCCAGCCCAGGCAGCGGAGAGTCCTGCTATGCGCAGGGAGGGCGATGACGTCACCGTGCCCAAAGTAGCTCTCCGAGTTCTGGTTGTGGCTCCCCTCTCTCCCCCCTCTTCTTCGCACCGGTCCCCTTCACGGTGTTGAGCTCGTGAAGAGGTGAGGGCGGCAGAGGAGGCCGGCTCTCTAATTCTGTCTTGTCTTCCCCCACCTCCATACATCAATCGTGACTGATCTGTGGGAAATATACCTGCTCACTACAGTCGTGCTAAGACGTGGATTTGAAGGCAGATCGGAAGCAACCCGCAGCCCTCTTGCGCCTTAAAAAAACAAAAGGGGAGAAAGTTGGGGCTCCTACCAGAGAGCGGGGTCCAGAAACCCACTCTGTGGGTGCTGCGCTGCTCGCAGTACAGAACCCCAACACAGAGAGCACAGTCAATGACCGTTGAGAAATAGTGGTGAGGACCCTATGCAGAAAACCAAGGCGATCTCCAGAGGCGTAGTCGATATCAGACTCCGAGGTCCAAAAGCCGAAGGGAGGCAAGCCGGTGGAAAAGTACAAAAACTAGAAGCAGAGCCGGAAGCCGAGAGTCTAAACCAGAACGATAACAGAGCCAAAAACTAAGTAGTAAGTTATAGCGAAAATCAAGAAGCTCTAGGCAGGAAAAAAACCTAATTCTGAGCCCAGTGGAGAGTGTGAAGCAGCTTTAAATGGGCTGGGGGAAATGGGCTCACTGGGAACCGTGCTTGAATGCGAGGTGGAATGACGAGTCCTCTGGGGGGCGTGGCGTAACAGTGACACCCAGGGCAGCACGTGGACAATAACATGCTCGGGTTATCACAGCGCTCGAAACAGCCGCTGGGATTTTCTTTGTGTGACGGTGCTGTTGCCGACATATTGAAAGACGTGTCGCGGTCAGCGGGCGTCATCCAGCTGGGCCCAGAAGAGGATGATTCTGGTGCTGAGCCTCGCCAGCCCGCGACTAGGCTGCCAGAGCCCATAGGTAAAGCTTGATGCTTCTCTGTACATCCTGTGTAATTCACTGCAGATAGGAAATTAATTAACAAGGAAAGCTATTAGTGTTATCATGTACAAAAGGAATGATAATCTTGACTTGCTGTCATGAGGTATAAATAAACAAATGAAATGCAAAAGACCTCATTAGACTGAAAAGTTTTTTTTTTCCATTTTTTAATCTCATTCTTCTTGGCAGAGCATCACGAGGACAAAGAGATAGCACAGAATTCCTCTAGACTTCTATGTGTTTCTTACTACTCATCAGAAAACAGCACAATGACAGCATATCTTTCTCTCATCTTTACTACAGGTAGTCCTTACATTTTGTGGGTTTCGGCTGCATTTGTAGTGTGTTTCTCCCACTTCAGAACAGTGCCAGGATGTTGACAATGCCGAACATTGTGCAGGGCTGCAGCCCCAGGTGTCTTGACTGGGCAACACAGTGACCTGGGCTGTGCAGGTGGGGGGGGGAGAATGGATCTGTGTGCTTCTACATCTACAGTTTGAGGTGAGGAACAAGAAAACCGTCCACAATGAGCCGCAATTGGAGTCCAGCCCCAGTCGTCCAGTTCATTCTCACTTCCACACCTGCGATCCAATCAGCCATTTGTGCGAGCATCTGTCTCAGGCCCTGCAAGGGATGTAAAGACCCATCCTGCGCATATACACTCGTACCTCTTCTGTTTTCCAGCTGGTGGGGATTCTGAATGCATATCACCTTCATGTCAGACTTGATTAATTTGAATCCACAAAACAGGGACTTTAAAAGCCCTGAGGACCTGGAGGTGCCAGTTCCTGTCCAGCCGGTCCCGGCCTTCTGCCTTCCCACCAGCTGTCTCAGTAGAAAGCCGAGTGTTTGACAGAAGTAATTCAGAGCTGGACTTCGTCACTGGATTGAGGTAATTCAGGGCGGACGCTAGGTTGCTATTTAGCAGTCAGTTCCAGGCCTTCTGAGTCGAAATAGAAAACTGTAAATAAGAGAAACGACGCTGAATAAAATCAAAGAGGCTGTTAGCTGGTCTGACAGACTCTCTGCTCGATGGCCTGTGAACGCTGGGGGAGGAGGAATATTGAAGAGCAAATTGATTTCTAAAGACTGGAGACGTGCAAGTAAGTTGGCCGAAACAGAAGTGCAGAGAGGAGAGCAGGGGGGTGGGAGGAGTGAGAGGATGAACTCTAAACTGGGCAGGGAATGTGCAATTGGGCAGGCTGTCAGGACCTGAGTCTTAATGCATTTAAAGGTTTAGGGCAATAGGCACTTACAGACAGTTTATGAGCACTGGCAGTTCAGTACCAGAGTTCTCGCCTGCCATGCAAGAGCCCAGGTTCAATTCCTGGTCAATGTGATCATTGTTCGGTGGTTTGTTAGTCATTCTGCAGTTTTTAAGGCATCACTGAGGCATGACTGAAGGCTGATCTGCTGCTGTTGCAAAGCTTTAGAAATCTTTCAGACCTGCTGGAACATCTCCGTGTGGAGGATCGGATGTGAAGAAACAATATTAAGGTACATTTCCTGGCGAGGAGCACAGCTGTGCCTCAGTGCAGTTCAAGGCTGGCTTTGTAGTTGTCCTGAGTACCTTGGTTTCAGTGCTCAACGCGTACTTGAAGAGCCAACAGGTTTAAATCAGACAGATGGGCTCCATCAGCCACAGGTGCAGAGAGGATGGTTTAGGTGTCCCTCTGGCACTGAGAGGCAGTTTGCGTGGTGCAGGGGCTTGTTTAATGAGAGACACTTTATGATCTAGAAGGAAAGGTTTGCCCTAGAAACTCCTGCAACATTAATCACAATCAAAAAAACAAATCGAAATGTTTATCTCGCAAATGCAGAATCCAGCAATGGACAGATGTAGTTTGGTCTCTTGGAGAAGAAGGCTGTCACTTCAGAGGAGCTGATACCAGCTGCAGAGAGGTTGCAAAAACCCAAGAACTTCTGGCAGGGCTTCACAGACACACCCAGGGAAACCAGCACGTTTCTATCAAGGGGCATAAAATAGCAAAAACATATGAAAAAATCATTAATTTTAGGCCAATAATAAAATACTAAATATAACCATTGTGAGACTGATGCACATAAATGAAACTCTTGTGGACACTGACATTTAACACCAGGGAGTGTTTTACTTGCTTAAAGAAAAAACTGCATTTAACAGAAGAAAAGCGAATACTTTATCAAAAACAGTCTTGTTCCTGGTAGGAATGGGCTGACACCAAAAACAGCTTTTTACTTTTCTAGAATTGAAATGATATAACTTCATTGACAGGATATAAAAGGAAATAAATACACAGGAGCAATTTTTTCATCGTTGAAAGCGGGGCCTCCAGTCCGGCATCCGAGAATCTCATGTGGTTTTCTGATTGCGGTCACAGAGAGAAGATCGTTTTTGATTTTCGGTATCAATCTGCTCATCTGCGTCTTGTTGTGGGCTTACAGCTGAGCCACAGCTGAGAGGATCTTCTCTCTACTCTCCATTAAGGCCCCAGGCTCAGTGGTGAGACTGCCAGTCGAACAGTACAGTATAGTACTGAAGAAAGATATAAGATGTGAAAAAGGGGTGAACTGATTTCTTTCTGCACAAAGACTTCTTGTAACACAAGGTATTCCATGCTTAGGCACCTTTGAGTTATGGCAGGGATGGGAGTTAATTGATATGAAATTCCAAGTGCAAGATAAAGACCCCCTAACTAAGGAAAGATAAAACTGACCATTACAAGTGTTCAAGGTCTTGGGAGTGTCCAAACACAGGTGTCACACCCCCATTACCATGGTAACAATTTGCATCAGAAGCGGCTGAAATTCGCTATATAAACTGGAAGTTTTGTACCTGTATTTCGAACAATACTTTGGTCTTATTGTTCCTTGCATGCAATAAACTCAATTACTTAAATGTCATCTCGGGTTCCAGAACTTATTTGTCTGTTACTACGGTACAGTAATACTTTCCTAGGATCTGCCCTTCAGGGGCCACAAGGACAGGCCCACTCTCACAGACAGGACTCTCCCCATGTCCCCACTTCTCTATGGAGGGAATGGGCTCATCACAGTAGGTCTTCCAGTATACAACTGCTGTCCAGGGACTCCAGCGCAGTCAGTGGGCTGTCATCAGGCCAGAGCAGTCCTGTGCTGCCCCCTGCTGGGGTGTGTGGCACTCAATCACACTCTTCTGGTCACATGGCTCATGTGAAGACTCTTCTGCTCACATGGCTTCCAGAATCCAGACCAGCTTCTTGGGCCCAGTCTGGTCTCAGGATGGTCCTGTAGAGCCCGTGTGCCTCCTACCAGCTCCTCCCTCTGGACCCTCTGGACCTCAGACAGCGCCAGCTGCACCGGCCCGTCTCAGCGTCACGCTGCGCCTCGGACTGGACATCCTTTCTGCCAATCGTTCCTCTTATTTCTGACCAGTCCCACGTGGGCGTGATGAGCTTGGCCAGAGCTCGTCTGCAAGGGCGCGTTGCCCCCCAGCACCATCACGCTGCCCTGCTTCAAAAGCACCAATATTCAGAAAAGCCTCTGACCAGAAAAACAGACACCTTTGTATTTTTCATTCATCCGTATTTGACAAGACATGCTCTGCTAGGTGAGTGAAGAGAGAAGTGCCCTGCGGTCTTGTAGCTGTGTAGTATTTAACAGCAGTGAAAGCCCTGTCAAAACAGCAGCCAGGAACATCATTAATCTCATCCTTTGTTAGGGATTCCATATTGAGAGACAGCAACCTTTTAAGTTTAATTTCAAGGACAGGTTCTAACGAGAACTCTCTGTGCGCTCTCAGATAAGATCCATTTATTTTTATCCTGGTAGAAAGTATTTCCTAGCGGTGTTAGTCACGCAGGCTTTGGTGCTTTGCAGATTGGTCCTCGTGCAGAAAGGAGACATAAACAAGCTAAAGGTTACAGCAAACTAATCTGCGCTGAAAATGAAAAGGACTATTTTTATACCCAGATAGGAAAGACATGGTGCATCATCAGAGCAGGTTTGCTTGCCTGCCTGGCATTATGCTGCAGTCCAGAGTTTTGATCTAAATGTGGATGCAGGGCAAAGAACTGCTACCTTGCATTGGGAGAAAGGTTATTGCCTAATTCATAGCAACAAATATCATTAAGGTATTTTAAAATTAGTTGAAATAATAGCCTCTGAATACTCACTTATCTCTTCAAGAAGCAGAGTATGTAGGTCAATACGGAAGCTGGGTACAAACTTGTAAGAGTAACTATTGTGACCCTTATTACCTGTATATGTTGAAAGGGAATTCTCAGGTATTCTGAACACAATGTATGTGCATTTTTTCATTGTCTTGATTTTGTTCACTGTAGTTTCTTTCTGCCTTGTAAGTGTGAAAGACTTCCTTTGCTTGTGCAGCGAATTTCCTTCCCAGCTACAACAACACTGTTGTTAACGCCAGGCAGCCCAAAGATCTGCAATATTCCAAAAGGTCAACCTGTCTCTACCTGCGTCACTCAGCCCACAGTGGTGACAGAGTCGCACTGAAGGAAACTGGCCAATCAGAGTGAGCTGGCTGCTGCACTGAACCCAGAGTTTTAGACTCTCAGTCCCAGAGCTGATGAGGACCTGGTGACAATCCAAAACTCTTTGGAAGAAACTTCTCCACATACGGGATGAAATTCAGTCGTTTCTTTCATAGGAAGTGAAATTACCCCGGGAATTTGCCTTGCAGCCAACGAGTGCTCATTTTGAAAACCATCATGCATCAACGAGCTTTCCAAGCATGAGCAAAAGCATCTTGATTGGCAAGAATGCTTGTTGTGCTGTATGAAGGGATTTGTAGTAATCCCTGTCATCCCTGCTGAAGTCTTCCTTCAAGGGCAGCTTGTGTCGGTATTCAGTGGTGGGGTGCAGAGCTCTGTCCAGTGGGGTTCAATCACAGCTACTGTAGATACCTGAGTGAGCAGGGAGGACACAGCAGGGCCCAAGCTGTGACACCTGTTCGATAGTCAGAGTCTGCTGCTAGCAGAGAGAATGTCTCATGCAGCTCAGGGCGACATGTGTTCAGATCAAAAAGAACAAGACAGGGTATTATCTGAAAATCTTTTCTACAGGAGCAGTTTGTGTTTCTGTCTTGCGGCACTCCCTGCCAGCCAGGCTGGAGCATCTGGACAATCAGGACAAGTTCACCTGGGGACACTTAGGGGTCGTGGCAGCACTGCTGATCCCCAGATGCCAATGTGTCACGGCAGTAACCTTTCGCCTGTGGTACCTCACAAATCACACACTGCGTCTACTGCCAGCAGTGTTGCAATACAGAGCATTCCTTAAGTTCACACATTACTAGTCAACTTAAATCTTCAGAGAAGAATGTTATTAAAAACATTGTTGTTAAGGTTTTCCATTGAAAATAATGACATAACCACGCTGTACTGTGCTGCAGTGGATCTTCGCCATGTGGGAAAAGCTCTTGGCAGTAATATGGTGTCTTCTACTGCATGTCCACCTGCCTGGGACACAGTCTGCTTTCCTGTTTATAGATCCTAAAGAAGTCTTGACCCTAGAGACTCCTAAGATCGCTTTCTTGGCCATATACAATTTCTTGCATCAGGAATTTGTCTTTTCGCAGACCCCAGCTTTCTCTCCATGAGACACACAGACAGGGAGAGGAGCTGGGGGTCAGAGCACAGGGTCAGCCTTTTATACGGCGCCCCTGGAGCAGTTGGGGTGAAGGGCCTTGCTCAGGGGCCCAACAGAGTAGGATTCCTCTGCCAGCCGCGGGATTTGAACCAGAAAACCTTCAGCCACAGGCGCAGATCCTGAGCCACAGTGCCACCGCACTGCGCCGCACCACACCGCCCTGCAGAGCCACCTGTTGTACCAACACTGACCTCTCATTTCAGTCTGAGGGCCTGGTGTTTGCGAAGCTGGCTGGGCAGAGGGCCGAGGCGAGGTCACACAGAGTAGAGCCCAGCCCTGCAGCGCCAGGTCAGCCTGTGAAGCTGTGAAAGAGCGCAGCCCGAAACCAGAGCCGACACTCCCATCAGCGCTCGTGCAGGAAGTCTCATCCACCTAGCCGGCACTTAATCCTTCCAGGAAATGTTGTTGTCGGTAGCCGATGAGTCTGACGCCAACAGGGTGTGTACGGGGCTCCGTAGGAGCAGTGAGGTGATGGAAAAGGAGCATCTGTGAGTTGACTTTAAACATCGAGCTCAACTTAAACGGCTGTGACCTGCCCTTGCTAGAAAGGCGGGCTTCACGGCAGCAAGCTTAATTCCTGGCCTTAAAGGAATGCCACACACAGGGTACAGGAACTGAATCTCTTCAGTTAATACCAGAAGTATTAATCAAAGGCTTCAGGATCACCAGTGAGACTGGGGGACAGGAGGCATCCTAAACTGTGGATCTCCTGGTCCAAGGAGTTATACCGGTATCCTCATTTTAACTGATAATTATGAGATTAAATGAATAATCAATCAGTGACAATGTTAAGAAGCTGATCATGATTTGAGTACCAGGAGCAGTCACATCCCAGATGTTAAATTATAATTAGGGTTCCCCTTGGGTGTGCCAGGAGTTTTGGGGTGCAGTGCTCAGTGACAGTTCTGACGGAGTTGTTCGCTCCCTCTGCGTCCCGTGAGCCCAGATCCTGCCTGGCTCTCTGCCGGAGAGCCCCCGGAAGCCCGTCCTAACTGTACATCATCTGGAAGACTACCTACCCAACAGACTGATGGGCCGCAGGCAGGTGGGGGTGCTCTTCACTGCTCTGGGATAAAAAGCCGGCATGAGCATCAGTCCTCATCTCTCTGTAGTGTGGAGTCCGCCTGTGAGCTGTCACTGGGATTGTGCACGTGGCCTCTGAACACCCATGATGGCCGAGGTCCTCTTTCTGCTTGCAATGCCTCTGACCCGAGTCTTGTTCAGTTCTTGGACAGTGATAAAATAATCCCCTCACACTTCAGACAAGTACTATTCTCAATATACATATAATATACAAGTAGTTCAGGTGGGGAGCTGCATCAGCATGCGTAGGCTGCAAAGGAACAAGTAATGGGTTTATTCCATGCTGAAAAGAGAAGAAAGAAAACACAACGTTTCGGCTGTGGAGCCTTCTTGAAGAAGTCTCCAAGGCCGAAACGTTGTTTTT